GACAGGACCTTCTGGCAAGCCTCTCTCACCACCCAAATTGTCTTAGCCTCTAAATGCCCATAGCGAAAAGAAGGGCATGACTGTGGCCTTGGATGCGTGTTCAAAACCCACTCCCACCCAGAAGATCCCACCAAGAACATAAAAGAGGTACTTTTTCAACATCATCTGTGCTCCCTTCAGCAAGTCTGAGACTCACCCTGGTCAGGGTGTGACCTTGGAAGCCAGTTCCTACCTCCAGCCCTCCTCCCAGGGCTGTCACCTGCTCAGCACGAGCAGGAGTCAGAGGAGGCATCATGGCTCCAACCACAGACAGCAGACCCAGCCCCACAACGAGTGTCTGCTGAGCAGCTGCATAGCCCCAGTTCAGCTCTGTGCTCCTAGCCTCCCTGCTGCTCCTGCTGCTGCTCCTTATCAGGCGGGGTGGCTCTGGAAGCAGAATCCTACTCTCCACAACCCACACCAAAGTCATTGTCCACACCCGTCTGTCCAGGAGATTGTGGTTTTGTTTGGATGGATGTGAATAGAGAAGCTAATTTGTGAATTAACCACAAAGCTGCCTTTGGCACTTCTGAGGACCCTTGTCCAGTGAGAGGGTTCCCAGGGTGGGAGGTGCCCCACCTAGAAATCTGGCACCAAGAGCATGACACAAGGGCCCCTTGGGCTCCCACACTCCCTGGAGCCAGGACCAGCCCTGGTCCTGAGGGACAACCAAGAGGTGCTTGTCTAAGACCAGGCCTCAGTTCGTACCCTGAGTGAAGTCTCCATGCCTTCCGAGTCCTCCTAAGACAGGACAGAAACACCATGAGACTGGAGACCATAGGAAGAGAAAAGAGCTACTCTGCTGGGGCCTGGTCTGAGTCTGCAGACCAGGGGCAGAACCTCCAGAGAAGGCTATCAACCATGCTTCCAATCAAAATACACCTCACCTTTTGTGGGTATGGTAAGAAATTTTGTCCTTTTTAACTCATGTTTTTGTCTCCTCAGTTTGTAAATCTGTAGGATACACTTAGTGTTACCTATATACTCAGCCTCTAAAGAGGGGTTATAGGGGTTATTTGGATAAAAACAGGCATGACTGAACATTTTTTGCTTCATCCTTTTTTTAGGATTTTGTGTGTGTGTGTGTGCGCGCACGTGTGTGTGTGTGTGTGTGCGTGTGTGTGTGTGTGTGTGTGCGCGCGCGCACGCGCGCGCGAGCTCGCACACGTGCATGCCACATAGGTGTGGGTATCCATGAAGGCCAGATAGGACATCCTATCAGCATATGGGTGCTGGGAGCTGAACCCAAGTCCTCTGAAGAGATGCAAGTTCTTTTAACTGCTGAGCCATCTCCCCAGAACCTTGCTGATTAATCTTGATTGTCAGCTTAAGGAGATGTGGAGCCACTGAGGCAGCAAGCTAGATTATCTCTGCTGACTGAGGTGGGGAAAGTAGCCTTCTCACTCCTATCTTTGCTATGCAGAGAGAGATTCTGGTCTAAGGATGCAGAAAGAGAACCCAGTGGGGGCAGAGGAGTCCTGAGACCAAGTCCTGGGCCTGGACATGCTCAGCTCTAAGCTTTAACATCATCATCTATTAAATAACAAATAACTGGCCCGATGGATTGTGTGAATCCCTGGGAAACAGCTGGGGGACCCCTGCTTATTTGGCACTTTACTCCTTTCCCAGTGGCCAGGAGAGAATGGGGGGGGGGGGCTAGAGCCAAGATATATCTTTCACAGGCATGCCTTCTTAGGGAGCCAGTTCCTCCAACGAAGCCCCATACCCCACAGCTGGATCTTTCCCAGTAGTCTCTTCCAATTTTGAACCCACTAATGGATGAAAACATTGATCAGGTCAGGACCCTCATAAGGAAACACCCTGCAAACATACTCAGAAAAGTACTGCACTGATATGTCTCCCCACAACCTATCTGATCAACTGTCACTGGGGACTGGAAAAATGGCTCCAGAGTTAAGAGCACTGGTTGTTCTTTCAAAGGACCTGGGTTTGGTTCCCAGCACCCACAGAACACTTCACAACCACCTGAGACTCCAGTTCCAGGGCATCTGTTACCCTCTTCCGACCTCCGTGAGTTCTGCACATACATGGTACACATACATACATGCACACAAAACGCCCATACACATAAAATAAAGATAAAGAAATATTTGAAAAGATCAGCCATTACATACCTTAAGAGCCAATTATTTGAAATAGTTCTTCTCAATCCCTCAACTGTATAAATCTACCTATATAATAGACAGATAATATTTACCCACCGAGTATCTTTATGTCTATATCTTGTTGGTTCTATGACATGGAGAACCAAAATAATACATCTTATGACAAGGAAAGAGTTTTGTAATTCAAAACTCTTCAGAAAATAGGAGCCTAAGCCAGCTGGCCAGAGTGAATTCTTCCCACACACCTAAAGCAGGTGCATCGATGATTTGTCAAACACTTGGAGACACAGAGAAGGGACCAGCTCTTCAAACTGTGGTGTAGGGTGGGACTCTGCGGGGCAGGCTGCTCTGGCTTTCACCTGCCACTGCTCTCTGACTGGAGTTGGCTCTGTTCAGACAGCTCTGGCTCCTGAGAGGCCTCCAGGACTGTGTCTAGCTCAAAAGCTGGAACTAGATGTGCTTCTGCAGCTTCTGGTAGCTCGGAGTCTCTTGCTGGGTCTCTAGGACTGTGAGCAGGTTCTAGAGTTGCAGTAGGTGTTGCAGCTCTGAAAGGACTCTGTGGTGAGGGTGGGTTGGGAGCAGAGGTCCAGCCGCTTCTCCTTCTGTCGCAGTTGGGGTAGACGCCTGGGTCAGCACAGCTCCACTGCTGCAGGTGGCTATGGAGCTGGCTCTAGATGCAGGGTTAACAGCCAGCCTCGTGCTGTCCTGGCCAGCGCTACTGCTCTGCCTGCAGTCACTGTCAGAGCTGGTTCTGGACTGGCTACACGGCTGTTGATGGTGCTCCTGCAGTTGCTTCTTCTGCCTCTGTCATCTGCAGGTGGCTGCAGACTTGTCTGTAGCTCAGGACCAATCCAGGAACCTCTTCTGGCATGGATCTAGCCCAGCCACAAATACTAGAGCCAATGATATGGTGGGCACCAGAATCTTCCTGGCCTTAGGGCAGGAGTGGATTAAGAAGCCTCACCTGTTGTTGTTCCTTCCAGATATGTTGGCAAAATAGTTCACACTGATGGTCCTGGTCAATGCTCAACAGGTCAAGTGAGCTTCCTTCTGACCTCTGCTGCCCAGACACACATCCAGGGCCCCCTACTAGACCCAGAGTTGTAATTGTGTGACTAGGGAACATTTCTTACTCCTGAGATCTCAATCCTCTTCAGGGAGTGAAGATGGACCCCATACTTTACCTACTGTAAAGATTCCAGGCTTTGGGCCATGCATGATAGTTCATGCCTCTAACCCAGCACTTGGAAGTTAGAGGCAGAAGGATCAGAAGTTCAAGTCATCTTCAACTACAGAGCAAGTGTGAAGGTAGCCTACATAAAACACTATATCAGAAACCAGGAAGGAAAGGGCAGCAGGGAGGCAAAGGAAGGATTCAGTAATTTGGTAGCATCAGCAAGTGTGGCTGGCCTGGCCCAAGGTAGCAGGAGAGTGCTCACTGATATGTCCCCAGGCCCACAATTCACTCCCATCACCAGAAAGGCCTCATCAGTTTCAGGACTCATTAGATGAGTAATGTGTACTTGTATAGAACAAACAGATCACAGCTAGTCATCTGAATATTGTGTGTCTTTTAGCACTAAAGCAGAGGACAGTCGACTTTCAAGAAGCTGCTGTGCACCTCACATCCACACACAGTCCTCAAGGTGAGGCTGGTCAGAAGCATCTGGGAGCCACGATCTCCCAGAAGCTCCTTCCTGGCCCATTCCCAAAGCTTTGTTGTAAAAGAGGAAGTAAATGGTCACCTCCTTGGCCCCTGAATACTGGTCAGTCAGAGGTGGCCTTTCCTCTTTGCATAGAAGCTTTGGCATAAGCAAGTACCTGGAGAGCAAAGCTCCAACCAAAAAAAAAAAAAAAAAAAGACGACTCCATGGGTAGTTTGAAAGGTCCTGTGAGCTTGGCAACACGGTAAATATGTCCTTAAGATCCACTTGGCGAGGTGGGATCTAGGATCAGACGGTAGAGTCCCAAGAGCTGGGCTAAAATTAGGAGCTCTGGCGAGGAGCGGAGGGACCACGAGAGGGCGCTGCAGCCGGAGGACTGAGAAAGGCCCTCTCGGGCTGCCGTAGGCGCTGCTATAAAGGACGTGGCGTGGCTGTGCTCGCCCTCTTGGCGGCCATGGCGGCGTGCTGGTTGCTGTCTTTGTCTCTTCCCTTGTTGACCTGGGACACCGCGGATGACCCTACGTAACTCTGCTTGCTGGCGGGAAGACTCCGTCTCGTGCTGGCTGTCGTAAAAAAGATGTCCCGTGCTTTCCCTGAGGGCTTTGTTGCCCTAATATGTGCAGCAGACTAAACGTGGTAAGAGGAAGGGCAGTTGGTGCTGTGTCCGAGGGCCGGGTAGACCACCCCCAGAAGGCTCTGGTTTGGGCTAGTGAAGCAGGAAACCTAGGGATGAGGTCATTACTGGCTGGGGCCCCAGACCCGTCTCTCCTTCCTCGTTAAGGAACACCAGGTGAAGTCGACGTTTGCTGCAGGCCCATGTAGGAGATGGAGAGATCCTGATCGAAGAGAGCTATTCCGAACCACTCTAAATAGCCAGCTTGAGATGACGCAGACCCGAGACAGTATCCTGTCTGTTCAGTGCGAGGGAGAGTGGTGTATGTTTTATTTGCAGAAAGCCTTACCAAGGAGAACAAATCATTGTGGGCCCATTGGAATATAATACAAGCCTGGTGAAATCCCCAGTGATCTTGCCAAAGTGTGTGCAGAATGGTTGTTTTCCTTCTCTAGGGAGTTTGTCTGCTGGAAGTTATGCACCCGTGAGGACGTGTTGGGGATCTTGGGTAAGTTACTAAGATTCAGCGTAACAGTAAGGCACTCGGTTCATCACCATCCTGCCCCTAGAGGCGTTGCAGGTGTGGCTGCTGTGTCACATGTGTGTCAGTAGGTGGCAGAGAGGAGAAGAGGCTATGTCTACGCTCAGTGTTCTAATTTGTGAACATCTGAATGATTAGTAGCCTAACACTGTCTGAAGCTGGAGGTGGAACCTCCACGTTGCTGACTGGCATAGGGCATTTGATGGCACCCACAAACCCCGTAGAGGGGGTGGCCTGTGAAAAGCAGGTTTCAGATAACTTGATTTGCTTCCTGGGAAGCAGAACATTGCAGCACATGTTTATTAATCCTGGCTACTCACCAGCCTGGGCTGTGGGTCCTGGAGAGGTGGCTCAGAGGCTAAGAGCACTGGCTGCTCTTCCAAAGGGCCTGAGTTCAACTCCCAGCAACCACATGGTGACTCACAGCCATCTGAGTTCTGGTGTGCAGCTGTACATGCCACAGAACATTGTATACATGATAAGTAAAATCTTTTTAAAAATACAGTGGATGTGAACAGTGATGGCATCTGACTTAGGGATTCTATTGCCATAGTCCATAACCGGAAAGCGTTGTTTTGTCATAAGTATGGCTGCTCTGCACATACACTTGCACACCAGAAGAGACCATCAGATCATGTTATAGATGGTTGTGAGCTACCATGTGGGTGCTGGGAAATGAACTCGGGGCCTCTGGAAGAACAGCCAGTGCTCCTAACCAAGTCTCCTGGAGATGAGACCCATCTCCAGCCGTAACCAAGAGGGTTTTTGGGGAAGTGGAGTTTGAGATGGGGTTTCTCTCTGGCTAGCTATCTTGATGTGGGGCTTTTCAAACTATCCCTAGCACTGGTTGCTGCCTGGTACCAGGCAGGCCAGCTATGTATCCTGTGGCCCTCACTTGCCAGGGCTTGAGTACAGTGGTGGTAAGGTGCTTGCATGGCCTGTAGGCCTTGGTCTCCATTCCTGGCAGCACAGGTCAGGGGGGAATGACAACTAACAGTGACAATGGTGGCTGCCCTCTGGTGTAAAGTGTAACTTTACTAGTTTACCTGTGGTTGAGGTCAACTGAGATGAGGTCTTAGGTTTTCCCACCCTGAACATAAATGACCCGCTTGTCCAGTCTCTCCATGGTGCACTCCCTACTTTTCAATGTATTAGTCAGAAAAACAATGCTATAGTTAGCAGCCTGAGTTTGTGCAATGGAGCTGGCAGTGTGGGGATACATTAAAGCACTGGGGTGGGACTCGCAAATATTAAAGGGATTGCTGCCTGCCCCTCCAGGCCTCCAGAGGCTCTGGGAGCACAGGGCTAGTGGATTGGGAGGACTTGCACTGATTGTTTTCTTTTCTTGTACAGGAAAGTTGGTGGCTAAGCTCCGCTTACTCTGAACGCCCAGCAGTGGCCCAGCTGAGGTAAGAGGTGGGCTGGCTCCACTGGAGCATGCTCACGTGGGATGAGTGGCTGCCCTGAAGATGCTGTCTTAGATCCGTCAGCACCACGGGCACAGCGCTGCTCAGCTGTGCCTGTGACAGTGGGGCAAAGAGCAAGTGGCTATTTCTACGCTCAGTGTTCGGAAGCCAGTGAGCACTAAGAATGGTTTATAGCCTGACATTTGCAGAGCCACGGTGAGGTGGTTTAGCTTTGATGCTGTTAGCCAGACCCCAAGGACTCACCAAAAGTTTGTGGTCAGCATGTTAGCCAGGTAGAACATTGGAGTTGGAGGGATGTAGAGACTGGGTTTTCAGAGGGGCAGGAAAATACAAGAAACTATCCATCCTTTTCATCTTACAGATCCAGAAGCGAGGAAGAATAAGGCCTACCTCTTGGCTGTGGCTCATCAGGACAGATGCAGGTGTAATTTTAAGCCATGGGCCACGTGTGGCCTCTGACCTCACCAGCGACCTGCATACAGCGACCACCCATATAGAACTTTGGGCAGCTCTACGCTTCTCATCCTGGTAGCCCACATCATAAATTATGAACTGCATTTGGCTTGCCTTTAATTGTACTTGGCAAAACTGGTGATCTGAGGTCTGGTAGCGGCACCAGGGGTGGAGGACCCTTAATTGTGAGCCAGACAGTGATAGTGAGCCAGCCTGATTTACAAGGCAAGTTCCAAGACTGTTGGAGAGAAGCCCTGTCTTGAAAACGAGATAACTGGGGGGAAGAGGGGCTGGCTGTAGATGCTGTGGCACAAATAAACTTGTTAGTTCTTAAGACTGGAATCTTTCTTTGCTATCATCACTCCCATCTTGGGGCAAATAGCCTTTTGAGTTTTCTTCCTTGGAAATAAAGCCCAGATTTGAGGTTTAGGGGCTAGAGACATGGCTCAGCAGTTAAAAGCACTGACTGCTCTTCCAGAGGACCTGAGTTCAGTTCCCAGCACCCGCATGGCAGCTCATAACTGTTAACTCTAAGATCTGACATAGACCTACATACAGGCAAAACATTAATGCACATAAAAATGAAAAAAACTTATGGGCTGGTACTGTGACTGACATAACCTACCTTGTCATGGTAGGAGACTGCTATGGGGAAGGAGGCACAAAGATACCCCTCTGCCCATTGACTTAACAGCTGAGCTGAGAAATGATTGACTAGAGGTGTAGCTCAGGATCTGCCATTGCGTGCCACAGGGATATTGCTCAGTGGTAGGGTTTGTTGCTGGTGGCAGAAAGGCACAAGAGTCCATAGGTTGGATCCTAAGAAGCAAAGGTAGCATTCAAGCCAATGACATCACTAGTGCCCAGTTAAGAGCTGTAGAGTAAAACCCTTCTGGCAGCTGTTTCATGTCCTAGCAAAAGACCCACATAACCAGGTATCAACATAAAAGCCATTTATTTACATGTTCAGAATGACCCCATTGGGCCAGCTTGGCTCCTCTGCTGGGTTGGAGAGGGGTCAGGAATGTTCCCAGATGGGTGTTCCACCCACAGCAGCCTGGAAGTGGCTGGATCCTGCAGCCTTACGAATACTTAGTGTTGGAGATCTCCCTCCAGAGCAAGGTCTTAAGGTGGCTAAGCACCAGTGAGTGGTGGGCCTCCACCTGGCTGGCCAGTCCACTCAGTGTAGTGCATGTACGAAGCTGTTTGCCCAGCTCCTCATGGAGGTCTGCAGGTGCGCCAGGCAGCAGATAATCCCTTAGCAGCTCACACACCTTGGCCAGGTTGGGCTGAATGAGGTCACCCTTGCACTGTCTCATGAGCCTGTCACATGGGGCCCTACAATCTCGCCCATAAATGCAGTCAGAGCTCTGCTCACAGTGGCGTCCCTGAAGGAAGCGACGCACGGTAGCTTCTGGTGCCACCTGCTGCAGGTCAGCCATCTTGAAATCATAGGTGGCTGTGTACCCCACATTGGCCAGTGTGGTCTCACACATGTAGAAGGTACCATAGGAACCATGGAAGAGCTCCTCTACAAATTCCAGCAGGCCGATGGCAATCTTGGCACGCCAGGGCCATGCAGGTCCAAACCACTGCTGGAGAGCCCTATGCAGCACAGATGGCACAAGCGGGCGCAAGGCAGGCAGCAGCACTGCCCCATGCCAGGAACTGTGAGGGATGCCCTCAGTGAGGTAGAGGTCCCCACAGTAGCCCAGCAGCCGGGATGCATGCTCCTTCTCCTGAAGAGACAGCAGCAGCAGGAACTCGTTGCGCTGCAGCAGGGCCCACACAGACTTGGCCTCTGCCAGGGACACCCTGCTATCCTTGTTGAAGTCCGCCATGAGAAGGATCTGGTCAACCAGTGCTGGCAGGGAAGGCAGGTCTCCTAGGTTCGCCTGGCATTTGGGACAAAAAGGAAAGCAGAGAAGCACACCCTTACCCGGCAGAGCACTGGGTCTAGCCTGGTCTCTAAACCTTAGACTGTCAGCAAGGCCTGCTGCCTGCACCACACTCATCACCCAGCTGTCTACACGAGCCCCGGGCCACAGCACTGGCCAGAGGCTTAAAACTAATCACTTGGCCCGTGAGCTGTTTACACCTCCCACTAATACCTACTTTTGCCACACCGGGTCCTCAATCTCCTGAGGCCTCCCCATTGCTTATACTCTTGCCAATTAATCCATTCCCACAAGCCCTGGTCAGATGTTGCTTGCCACCCACCCAGGTGTTCGTAGGTCTGCCCCGCTATGTAGTACAGCACACTAACCTTGAGGAAGCTCAGGGTCATCTCCCGGAACTCCTTGATGGAGGTGCCCCGGGTGGGCTTGTCAAACAGCACCAGCTCCCGCCTTGGGGCTGCATCTGGCCAGGCCTTGGAGTTCAGAGCCTCCTCAATGCCACATTTGATGGTCACCTCTTTGTCCTGCCAGAGTCCACTGTACACCTAGACAAGGCCACAGGCATGTTTCCTATAGATGCCCAGCTTACTGCCAGCAGTAGCCCACATCAGCCTGCCAACCATGCCCAGCTGCATACCTGCTGGCCTGGGGCTGAGGACAGGCAGGTCCTCCACTCCACCTTCTGCAGCTCACACAGGTCCTGGCAGACAGAGCCGGAGATGATGCCCTTGTGGTACTGGTCACACTGGGGAGACAGGAACCAGGGTATGGCCTAGGGAATGGGGCGTGGGGGTCACAGCCCCCTCTACTTCCTGTGGATCCACAGGCAGCCCAGCCACACTCCTTCAGGAACCCCCAGGAAGGAAAGAAAAGCAAAGAGAGGGAAAAGCCACCAGCAGCATGGGCATGAGGATGGGCACCCATGTCCTGGAGGCTGCTGAGGATTGGCCTGTCTCCAGGAGTAACCCTTCTATCCTAGTCTCACTGACTTGACTCGTGAGAGAAGGATACCACCAGTCTACTGCCAGACAGTTTTAACTAGAGTACACACAGGTGGCCAGGACCACAGGCGGGTCCCCCTAACAGGCTTCCTGCTCAGACCCACCTGAGCCCTCAGCAGCAGAGCTATGGTCAGATGAAAGAAAGCCACAAGTGCCATGAGAGGGGCCCTGGTCATGGTGGGCGACTAAACCTCAGGTGTTACCCTCAGGCGTTATCTCTGGTGAGCAGCACCCTCTGGGCACCTGAGCCATCCATCCCTTGTCTCCCTTATGGTGAGGCTGTCTAAGCTCTGGAACCCAGCATGGCTGGGAACTCTCAAGGTAGCTCAGGACACTCCTCTGAGCAAGTGTCCACATGCCCTATCCAGTGTTTCTCCATCCACTTCAATCTCTGTCCTGCTTTAGCCTGCCCGAAGCAGTAGCATCCCAGTGGCAGGGCTTGGCCTTGATGACTACATCAGGGTCTAGGTAGACTCACAGCCACCAACCCACAGAGGTACTGTGGAGGGTCCCATCTATGAAGGAGACCTAGTATCTCCAATGTTCCAATCCTTCAGTTACTGGCCACTCTGGGGCTTGTCCCCATCCCTAAAGAAATGGTATCCTGGGGTCCCACAACTGCTGGGACTTTAACTTCCTGTCAGGCTTGCTCTAGGCTACCTCATTAGTGGAAAGCTCAGGGAGAGCCTCTCAGCACAGATTAAATCAGCACTACCCAGCCCCTAGTCTCAGAGTAAAGGGCCTACTGGCTCTCACTTGGGTAAATTCCTGGATAAACATGGTTGCCATGGAGCCTGGTGCTGGTCAGAGCCAGGTTTAGAGGAAAGGGGAGGGGGTAATGAAGGTATCCAACACCCCACCATCCAAGAAGCTGAGCCAATCTGAAGCACTGACTCAGCCGTGTGACCCTCAAAAACAGTGTCCTGTGGCCACATGAAACAGACTCATTGGATAAAAACAGAAACAGAAAAGCCTTCCTGTCATCCCACCATCCTGTGGGTAAGCCCTTCACCACAGGACTCTGGGCCAATACCCCATCAACACCAGGACTTTGGGGGATGGGAGGCTTTGCAGGAGCCAGAGGCTGTGCTGCCCTTGACTCAGCAGATGGAGGCAAGAGCCTACTAACCCTGCTCAGTGGTCCAAGGTGGCAGAAAGAACAGCAGAGTTCAAGAGGAAGGTTCCACAGAAACCAATATAGGAGCCAGAAAGGTGGCTCAGCAGGTAAAGAAGGATCTTGCAACCAAGTCTCACGGCCTCAGTTCAAGCCCTGGAATCCAAGGTGGAAGGAGAAAGCCAACTCCCACAAGTAGTCCTCTGATGTTCACACACAGGCCACGGCCAGTGTGTGCGCACATGCTCACACGCACACGTGCACACTCACAAATTTTTTAAAGGGAAAAAATTCTTTAAAAAAAGGAAACTGAGATGGACAGTATGTTCAGCCATCCTCAGGACTCCTGTGTTCCCAGATCTCCAAGCCTCAGTTTCCTCATCTGCAGAGTGGGCCAGAACGGAGATCCACTGAGCAGCGTCTACCATGCTGAGAGCCTGGCTAGTACCTGAGACTGTACGGCCGGAAGGTGGTGAAGGCTCTCCTCTGGAAAAGAGGCAGTGTCCCCTGTCCAGGGAGGAGAGGTTTCTATCAGCAGTCACAGGTACCAGCGTCATGAGTCTCAGAGGCACACCCACACAGGCACTGGCATGCAAGCATGCCCTCCCACACATGTGCACGCACAGGGATGTGCTCACTCAACAGCAGCAACGGCTCCCCGAGAGGACAGGCGAGACAGACTCCACCCCACTGCCTGCTTTCGGACTGGCCAGGGTGT